GTTTCGGGCTGGAGTCTGCGTGTTCCTCATGCGATCATTCCTCTGTCTCCAGGTGGGCCGTTCCTTTTCTTATCTAGAGGAGGCAGGCTCTGCTGATGGATGTGGCTGTCATCTTTCTGGTTACATTGGGCCTTCCAGGGCCTTCTCCCTTAGCTCTGCCGAACTGAGAGTTCAGTAGAAGTTCAGCAGTATCTAGGTGAAAGTTCACAGCTTGCGGCCTAAGGCTTTTCGCTGATGCTGTACAACGGATTCCCTTAGAGCAAGGAAGGGGCTCCTGTAACAAGCTGAGGTAATGTAGCTGTGCATTTGAGGTTCTGTTTTGTATGCTGTCCCTCTGGGAATTACAATATTAGCGAAATACCTCCAGTGGCATACTGTTATTCCAGTGAAAGCAAGAAAAACATTCAGATTTGACAGCTGAATTACACTGGGTACTATTTAATATAATGACTGTAGTTTTACTTCTTTGTCTTCCAAACTGTCAGGATTTAGTAAACTTCTACTAGGGCAGCAGCCAAGCAGAGGAATAATTTTGGAACACTTGTGTTAGTTTCCGCAGCCAGCTTTTGAGTTTTTCAGCTGAAAGGAAAATGAAGAGTTTTCCACGTTTGTCACAGAGGATCATAAATAGAAAGAGCTCAAGCAGCTGAAATTTCGAATTTATTATTGAGCTAATTCTCTGAGGAATAGTGCCTCTGTTTAGAAAGCTTATCACCTAGCTACTTGTAATATTCTTCTTGCACACGCAGTTAAAAAGTGTAGCTAAGCTTTTTGGTTGCTGCAAATACTTGTGGTACTGTCAGCTTACGTAACTCAGTAACTACTGTTCCGTACTGCGGAATTTGGGTTTCCTGAATGGCGTGGTTTTTTTCCTACATCTGCAGAGCCATGTAGCTTGCAGGCACAGCTTACACAAAAATTCGCTGAAGTAACTTCACTGCTGGAGCGATGGGTTTTTCCCCTTGAGAAACCTGCTGCCTTAAAAATTGTCACCAAAGCGCTGTTTGCTTACTTACTGCATCCGAGTGACGTTGCAGTTCTGTCTGTGAAGTGGGTGTAAAAGGATCATTTAGGCTGGTTTATGTCTATTCGGTTCATACATAAAAGGTTGGTTGATAATTGGTAGGACTGTAAATTTGCTGGAACCGTTTTTGTTTCTCTTCCTTGAGCGAAAATGCAGGTTAACGTTCTCGTGCCAATTTATCAGTGTTATCGTGTGGAGGGTGTTTTATACACAGTATATAATTGCATTCTGTAAGAGTTGGCCTTACTATGTAAATGCCTCGGAGTTTAAATTGCTTGTATTTCAGTGAATTCAATACACGTGTCCTGTGCGATTTGGTTTCGTGCCTTTTTCCCCACACTGGCTCTGGACTGGTCCCTCAGAGCTGTACGGCAAACATAGGAGGAGGGGATGTTCCTGTCTTGATGAAGTGCCTTCGCGCTGAGTTACCCTTTGACAGGTCCCAGAACAGAGTATTGAGTGCCTTACCAAAACCAAATGTGTGTAACTGGTCTGTAGTGGGTGCTGTGATGAAACGCAGTATTTTATAGAGAAGCCTGCCAGGCGGACAAGGTAGAAGGATTTTTTTTTTTTACTTGCCCTTGTGTTGGTTGGACAATGTTTTTTACTGAGCGCGTGACTGGCTTTACTGCTGGAAAACTTTAAAGTGTCAAAATAAGAAGTTCCTTCACCATGAGTAGTAGCTTATTGCTAGTACAGCTTAATACAAAGGGAATAGTTTGGGTTGTATGTGATATCTCAGACTTGTTCCAAACTTGGGCTGCTGGCTGTAAATTCAGTTAGGGTGCTTGTTTGGCTTGGAGCACTTGACTCTGGCAGCCCTTTTCACCCTAGAGAGATGAAGCTTTGGCAGCAGCAGGGTAGGCTGTCTCGCCTCCCTGATGAAGTGCATAGCTCCTGATCTGGAAAAAAAATAAGAAAATGACAGTTTTGCCACTGCTAATACACTGACAGGCATGTGTATGCATGTCCGTTTTGGTGACATTTCTACACCACCATTCCATCTCACCAAGCATACCAGCTCATTTCACATCACCAAAATACAATTTATGCTATAAAGAATATGGAAAGATGAGGGACAGAGGATTACTTTTCAGTCTTAATGTCCGTGAGCCAGTTCAGTTAGTGTTTTTTGCTGTTTGAAAGAGCAGTAGCCCAAATACAGCAAGGTGATGATGGTGTGGGGAGCTGTCAGAACCTTGACGGCACGATTAATCATTGTAATGCTGGTACTGCTCATCCTTACAGTGCCAAGCATCCGCAGGAAAAACGCTCATTAAGTACAGGGGACGTTGGGCATTCACAAGGATGTTGTAACCATGCTGGACTATGAAAATAGTCATTACTTCTGGGATGAGCTTGCCTACAGTAATGCAGGAATTAAAGTTCCTTGGATTTTTGGTAGTACATGCAGAAGCTACACATGTGAAGTGGAAAGGGGTTGTGTGTTCTGTGTCTGTTTTGCAAAGTCTTTCTTTGCAAATTGATGCAACCAGCACACTTTGACAAATGGGAATTGGGTATGAATTATTCAGCATGAATGTCTCCAGTAATCTTTGCTCCCTCTTGTGCTGTGATAAAGCACAGCAAATGTTGGGCTGTCTTCCAGAGCCATAAAGGCATTTCCCAAGACAATGTATGCAGTGTGATAAACAATGCTTTCTAGCATATTAGGGAGTTCAGTCAAGCAAAAGAAGGGAGATCCATGCGGAAGTGTGCACAACATTGGCATAAACTGATAGTACTTATGAAAGAAAAGCTGAAGGGTGGGATTGCTGAGATGCTTGGTCATTCCTGGCACTATCACTAGGCAGTTTAGATTTCCGTCTTGGCAGTGTTGTATGAGGTTGTCAGAGAAACACAGGCGCTTTCGATGGTGTATCTTCAGAGGGAGGAAGGCCCAAAGTGTAAAGAAAAGGAATCCTGCCCGGATCAGTCTCAAGGCAGCATTATTCAGCAGCCACACAGGCAGGCTTGGGAAGGTGCTGTTCTTTGTCATTTGCATCTAGGCATGAAATTCTCTTGTTAAGAAAGCTGTTTTCCACGACTGCCTGTCACGATGAAAGCCAAATAGGTGAAGTGTATTTTCAATGCAGCAGGATATCTGAATGGCACATCTCAGGTGTTTCTTCTTCTGAGGAGCATTTGCTCCCTTGGTCTCTCTGGACGTTAGCCATGGTTGCCTTGCCTTTAGCTGTCAGGTAGCAGAAGTTCATAATCTCTTTGTTTCTTCTGCAGGAGAACCAGAGACACCAGTGGACATGGAGACAATTAGCCTGGACCCAGAAGCTGAGGTAAAAGCAGATTTTTGTCCTTATGAGCTTTGTACAGCAGGAAGAAAAGGTAGGCAAAGGCAAGTATTGAAACCTGATTAAAAGATGCCATTCTTCTGAAGGTGCCGGCTGTTGTGATCCTCCTGGAACTGATTCAGAGCCTTTAGACTAGAAGTAGAGGTGTTTTATTCTGTCAGTAGCAGAGATGTTTTGTTAGTAATTTAGAATTGTAAATTAAGCATGGAGGCACTGACAGTGGGGCTATGCTGCAAGCATGATTGACGGCTATGAGCTTTTGTGGGAATAATGAACTGCTTGTGTTGTCAGACCTGTGATTTGTAACAGGCACAGGTACTTCATCAGCCTTGGTGGCATCGGCAGCCTCAGGACCCCGTTAGCTGGGGAGGTTTTGAGCTTGGATGGCGAAGTGCTCTGCTTCTCTGTGACTGACTGTGACCTGCCAAACCGGAGCATTTGGGTCTGGACAGCACAGACAGGGCATCACCTGATAGCTAGTGCAGAGTTCATGTTCACAGAACCACCAGATTATTTGAACTGGTTCCTGTTCATCTGAGGCCTGGAACTGGAAGTAGCAAGATATCATAGAATCATAGAATGGTTTGGGTTGGAAGGGACCTTAAAGACCATCTAGTTCCAACCCCCCTGCCATGGGCAGGGACACCTTGCACTAGACCATGTTGCTCAAAGCCTCATCCAGCCTGGCCTTGAACACTTCTAGGGATGGGGCATACACAGCTTCTCTGGGCAACCTGTGCCAGTGCCTCGCCACCCTCTCCTGTGTTCCAGTTAAGCCCTAGCAAAGTGGTGAGAGAAGTTTATGCCATGCTTTATTCATGCTGGACAGCAGAATTTGTCTCAGTAAATTCAGAATTTGACTGACTCAGGGAAGGTCTGTTGCCCTTTCACTGATACTGTGTTTGTGGCTGACAGGCTTAGGCCACATGCTTCACCTGTGGTGGTAAAATCATGTGCCAAACCCAATTTTCACAAACTCTTTGAAGGGAAGTTTTAATGAGCTGTGTATTTTGTAAGACTATAATTTTCCTTAGAACAAAGTGCGAAGTTGGGCTTTGAAGAGTGTTTTGAAACAACTGCTGAATCCTTCCATTTCTCTTCCAGGATGTTGAGTTGAATCATTTCCGAATTGGGAAGATTGAAGGATTTGAGGTGCTCAAGAAAGTGAAGGTAACAGTCCTAAGGAATAGAGAATGCCTCTTGGAACTGGAGATTGTGCATGTCTAACCTATAAGAGGACAGATACAGGAGTCTCTTTTTGGCTGAGAACCTACTGAGGTCGTGCTGTGTTTACCCAAAGAAAGTAGTGTTTATCCATTTGTCAAGCACTAATAAAAATCCCAGGGTTTTGCAAGGTGGTTTTGGAAGTGGATGAGAGACAGTGCATCAGGGCTCATCCTAGAAATACGTTCTGTACTTGCACAGCAGGCTTAACGTAGGATAATGTAGGATGGAAAGGCCTTCCAGAGGCCTGCAGTAAACCCCTGCTCAAAGCAGGTCCCGTTAGAGCATGTTGCTTAAGGCCTTCTCCAGTCAACTCTTGAGGATTTCCAAGGATGGAGGTTACAAAGCTGCTCTGGGCTGCTGTTCTAGTGTCTGTCCATCGTTGGGGCAGTCTAGTTGGAGGCCTGTGGCTAGTGGTGTCCCCCAGGGGTCGGTGCTGGGTCCAGCCCTGTTCAGTATATTCACCAATGACCTGGACGTCGGGACGGAATGTCCTCTCAGCAAGTTTGCTGATGACATCAAACTGGGAGGAATGGCTGCCATGCCAGAAGGCTGTGCTGCCATCCAGTGTGACCTGGACAGGCTGGAGCTGGGCGGGGAGAAATCTAATGCAATTCAAACAGGGCAAATGTCAAGTACTGCATCTGGGGAAGAACAACCCCATGGATCAGTACAGGCGGGGGGCTGTTCTCTTGGAGGGCAGCTCTGGGGAAAAGGACCTTGGAGACCTAGTGGACAACAGGATGACCATGAGCCAACAGTGTGCCCTCACGGCCAAGAAGGCCAATGGCATCCTGGGATGCATTAAGAGCGTGGCCAGCAGGTCGAGGGGAGTTATCCTCGCCCTCTGCTCTGCGCTGATGAGGCCTCCCCTGGAGTGCCGTGTCCAGTTCTGGGCTCCTCAGCTCAAGAAGGACAAGGAGCTACTGGAGAGGGGCCAGCGCAGGGCCACTGAGATGAAGGGCCTGGAGCACCTTCCACATGAGGAAAGGCTGAAAGTCTGTTCAGCTGGGAGAAGAGGAGGCTGAGGGGCATCTTATCAATGCTCATCAGTATCTAAAGGGTGGGTGTCAGGAGGATGGGGCAAGGCTCTTCTCAGTGGTGTCCAGTGACAGGACGAGGGGCAGTGGCCATGAACTGGGAAACAGAAGGTTCAGTGTGAACATGAGGAAACCCTTCTTCACAGTGAGGTGACAGAGCACTGAACAGGCTGCCCAGAGAGGGGGTGGAGTCTCCTTCCCTGGAGACTTTCAAAAGCTGCCTGGACTTGTTCCTGTATGATCTGCTCTAGTGGATCCTGCTCTGGCAGTGGGGTTGGACTAGATGATCTCTAGGGGTCCCTTCCAACCCCTTCCACTCTGTGTGACTCTGTGTAAAAAGATTTCCATCTGTAGAGCTGGAATAAACCAAGAAAAGTCTTTGAAGGGAAAAAACCAATAATCCATAACCAAACAAAAACCCAAGAAAACCCAGTGGGGAACACCCCACCCCCCCCCCCCCCAAACCCTATTGTCTGTATGCCAAAAGGCCTCACATGCTGCTATTCATACCCCTTTTCCTGTTTGTTTTTGAACTTTTCCCCAACTGTTAGACTCTCTGTCTCCGTCAGAATTTGATTAAGTGCATTGAGAACCTGGAGCAGTTGCAGACCTTGCGAGAACTGGATCTCTACGACAATCAGATTCGGAAGATCGAGAACTTGGAGTCTCTGGTGGAACTTGAGTGAGTCCAGGGGAATCACCCACCAGGATTAGGCTGAGGGTGGTTTGGCACAAGCTGAGTTACCGATGCTGTACTTGCAGTGTTTATCACCCAGGCTTTTCTCACGATGCATAAACTGGCTGCATGATCCCAAGGGTCAGCAGGGATAGTCAGCTAGGAATGGCATGTGTGCTCTGTAAGGCAGCGAGAAAGAGAGGGGGATGCAGCTTCTCTGCGGGCGTGGAAGCGCTCAGGCACCCCTCGCTCTTGGCAGTGAGAACTGTGTAACAGATTTTTATTCCTGCAGAGAATGAGGAGAGGTTTCAGGTGAGATAAGGACTTTTCGGGGGGATATTAGGGAAGCAGTAGCACCCTTGCCAGTTTCTGGCACTTGTCTGTGGTCACTCTGGGGATACTTTACAAAACCTTCCTGTGGGGGTGAGGACTGACCTGCTTCCCACAGTCATAACTGCCTCACGCTTATGGGAGGCCTTGACATTGTCCTGCCAGAGGCAGAGCTTACAGTCACGTCCCTTTCCCAAGGAATATGCTGTACTGAAGACTGGCCTCCTTCCACGCTGGGCGCTCCGCGGCTGGGCAAAGCAGTGACCGTCTTCTGCACACGACAGACCCTTTTTCCTCTGTTTTTCCCTGACACACTGTTAAAGTATTTTGAAAGTTACGTATGTTGTCAGTCTGAGGAAGAGAACTTACCCTTATGGCTCTAGCGTCCAGGCCTAGCGAAGTGCTTGGTCACTGCTGATGGTGAGGTTTCCCACCAATGACAACTTCCTCTTCCAGAATCATCCTGCCTCATGGACTGAAGAGACCCTTCTTTTGTTTTACCCCAGGATCCTGGACATCTCCTTTAATGTTCTGCGGCACATCGAAGGACTGGATCGGCTTACCCAACTTAAAAAACTCTTCCTTGTCAACAACAAAATCAGCAAAATTGAGAACTTGAGCAACTTGCAGATGCTACAGATGTTAGAGCTGGGATCCAATCGAATTCGGGTAGGCTCACTCTACAGGATGTTAGCTGGAGAGTTTTGAGCTCTTTGTCTTGGGATTAACCCTGTTGGAGGTTTCTTCGTTTACTTGTACTTGCAATTTTGTGTTTATTGTTCCAGTCATTCAGTGTGTAATTGCTTATTGCTGTGCATGCAGGATCCTTTAATTGTGTGTGCATGTAGTGCCTGCCTGCTGAATGACTGTTCATGGATTTCTCTCCAGTGGACTCAGGCATCCCCTGTGTTGCCTTTTGCAGATGACAGTTTCCTCCTGATAGAGCGCCGAGCCTAGCAAAACCAGCAATTGCTGCTGTCTCTTACCTTCCCAGGGGTAAAACTAGCAATTGCTGTTGTCTCTTACCTGTCCCTTACCTTCCTGTTGGTAAGAGACAACAGCAATAGCTAGTTTTGATAAAACCTATCGAATGCAAATTTAACTGTGGTTTGATTTGCACGTGTAATTGATAACCTGCTACGTCGGTCAGTCTCACTCAGGAAAAAGATTTGCCTGAGGCTTTGCCCTGAAATGCCTCAGAAACCCGATACTGTACTGCTGATTCCTTCTTATTGTGCAGTTTGTGACTTGGCCAATTTTAGGTGATTTAAAATCCGTGCCACTTAAAGTGAAGCAGTTCTGAGTAGTCTCTGCTGTCCTTGGGGTAGGCTTTCCTGCATTTTGCTCCGTTTGTAAGAGCAGTGGTGGAACAGGTGATGCACAAGACTTGCAATGTGCCAACGAAACTGGTAATTTTTTGGAAGCTTCTTCAGTCATATATGGTTTAGAAAACACTTGTAACAGATGAACGCGTTCCAATCTGAAAATTGTCTGCATTAGCTCTCTCCATTTACATCTCTGAAAATTTACTTGTTTTGCTGAAAGAGCAAACTGGGAAAAGAGCTGTTGTCCTCTATTTCAAGCCTTGTGGAAGCACGCTTCTCTTTCTAGAAAAGAAGGAATTCTCACCTATTATAAGCCGCCTTTTAAGGCAGAAATGTTTGCTGCTTTTATGAACTGGCACGTAGTGTAAAAATTCTCTTCTGCTCCTAAAGCTCAACTGAGCTGACTCCTTTTTCCATCTGAAGGAATTTCTGCTTTGGAGATGAATTTACTTAGGGGAATAAACAAGAGTGGGAGAACACTGGCCAGATCAGATGGGTGACGAGGACCCTTGGCTTTCATGGGTTGGGGGAACATGAGCTAGAGATGCACTTCCCTTTATTCAGACATGTCACAGGCTAAGCCCACCGATCCGTACATTTCAAAAGCTGGGTTAAGCAAAACTGTACTGTATTCTGTATTTAGGCATCATTAGCTTGCGTAAAAAGACCCCAAACCAAGCCAGGAAGATTTCTGAATGATATTTGGGTGGTATTTTGCCACCAATAGTGTCAAGCCGAAGAATGTCTTCTGAATAATTAGGTTAGATTTATTGTCTGTGTGTGTTCTCAGCTGAGCCTGAGCAGGTTATCAAAACTATGCCACAGTTATCACCAGAGGTAACACAAGCTTCTTAAATCACTTTATTGTTGGTGTTTTTTCTGTTGGTCTGTTAATTCTGTTCTGGCTTCTTCAAACAGCACCGCTCTCTGCTTCCCCTTGCCTTACTGGGGCGGATAACCTGTGCCCAGGCTAGGCGCGGGGAAATGCCTCTCAGATTTGGGGGCAGCCAGAACCTTTTAAGAGTTCTCTGACGGCAGGGTGGCCTGGCTGTGTGCCTTACAGGTGGGCATAGCCCTTAACTGAGGCCTTTTCCCCTTGTGTCCATCTGTTTCACTTAAGTGTGGCTTTTAAAATAGCTCTAATTAGCTTTTTTCCCTGCTGACTATTTATTGTCAGTGTCCTTAGTCACACGTATTTCCTCCTCAGGCCTGGGGGAGCTACCAGTGAGCAGCAATCTGTGTACTTTCTTGCAAGGTCAGGACAGGGGTAAGTCCCACAGGCTAGGAGGAGGAGGGTGAATCCAAACAGGACCTGATAAGCACCTTGTGTTGGGTCTGTTGGCAGTTGTGGGATAGAGGCTGAAAAGCTGCTTTCCTTTCCAGAGTGCATCTATAAAATGTATAGTCTGTGTTTGTGTCCATCTTCCTCCCTTCATGCGCACGCAGGTCAGTGTGCACGCACACTCAGGGTAGTCTTAAGTGGTGCAGGGACTCAGCGGTCTGTCCCACCAGCTCTGCGGGTCTCTGAGGCTCTGCCAGGCAAGGAGGATGCGGAAGAGCAGAGGTGTCACTAGATTCTGTGTGTGTATCTAGCTCCGTGTTACTCCTCTGTGAGCTGAAGCCTGTCTGTAAAATTCTTATCTCCTTTAACAGTACCTTTTTTGGAATTAAGAGGCTTTCCTCTGGAAAAAAAAACATTGTATTTGCTTTCCTTCGTTTACAGGAGCCTTTTCGAAGCCCACCCTGTTTCTCTTGCCCTTTTTTTCCTTTCTGTTCCTGCTTTCTGGTACCCCTTCCTTTGGAAATAAAGAGTATGGTTCTTCTTGATGCCTCACAGAGATGGGCTGAGATCAGCTGCTGTCGTGTAGATGTTCTGTCAGCAGCGTGTGTGTTTGAAACACGTGCATCGCTTCAGCTGGGGTGCGTGTGTTCTGCCGGTAGCTACATGTATTGACAGGTACACCCATGAGAGTTAACCCTGCGTGTGACAGAGAAGCTGAACAGCTTGCCTCCGACTCCTCTGCAGTCATTGATGGTCAGGACTGAATGGGCAAATCGCATTTTCTTCTCCCAGATTCTCTTTCCTTTCACTAGTGACAGATTATTCTTCCCTCACATGAGTTATCTCCCGCCCTGGATGCACCTCATGGCCCAGGGAACGTCACTTTTGGTGCTCCCTGAGCCTTCTCGTTCTCTCCTCTTGCTGCCTGGGCAGTGGAGACAACAGCCAGGACAAAGCGGTGTGACCCTTGCTGAAGTAGTGCCACAGGGGCTGCGTTTCACCGTCGCTGCACAGAGTGCAGTGCACGTGTGCTGGGTTCAGTCAGGAAA